GAGATTGCACATTTCTAGGAATTTATCCATTTCTTCTAGGTTGTCCATTTTATTGTCATATAATTGTTTGTATTGGGTGGGCCAAAAGGTTTGTTTGATTATTTCCGCAAGATGTCTCTAGTAGCACTTAGTTGTCTTTAACTTCATTCAAAACAGTTTTGTTAGATTGTATGTGACGGCAGTCATATCAGCGTGCATTTAAAAAAAGACTATCAAAATTGGTGAATTTTTGTGTAGCCATTTGAATATTGAAGATGGAAGAAAAAAAGCAACATTTTGGGCATATTATGCTTTATTATTTCAAGAAAGGTAAAAACGCAACTGAAACACAAAAAAAGATTTGTGCAGCATATGGAGAAGGTGCTGTGACTGATCGAACATATCAAAAGTGGTTTGCGAAGTCTCATGCTGGGGATTTCTCACTGGACGATGCTCCACAGTCGAGTAGACCAGTTGAAGTTGATAGTGATCAAATTGAAACAATAATTGAGAACAATCAATGTTATATTATGTGGGAGATAGCCGACATACTCAAAATACCCAGATCAAGTGTTGAAAATCATTTGCATCAGCTTGGTTATTTATGTTAATCACTTTGGTGTTTGTGTCCCACATAAGTTAAGTGGAGAAAAACCTTCTTGACCATATTTCCACATGCGATTCTCTATTGAAACGTAATTAAAACATTCCATTTTAAAAACAAATTGTGATGGGTGTTGAAAAGTGGATACTGTACAACAATGTGGAATGGAAGAGATCGTGGGGCAAGTGAAATAAACCACCACCAACCACACCAAAGGCTGGTCTTCATCCAAAAAAGGTGATGTTGTGTATATGGTGGCATTGAAAAGGAGTCCTCTATTATGAGCTCCTTCCAGAAAACCAAATGATTAATTCCAACAAGTACTGCTCTCAATTAGACCAACTGAAAGTGGCACTCGACGAAAAGTGTCCAGAATTAGTCAAAAGAAAACGCACAATCTTCCATCAGGATAACACAGGACCGCATGTTTCTTTGATGACCAGACAAAAACTGTTACAGGTTGGCTGGGAAGTTCTGATTCATCTGCTGTATTCACCAGACATTGCACCTTCAGATTTCCATTTATTTCAGTCTTTAAAAAATTCTCTTAATAGAAAAAATTTCAATTCCCTGGAAGACTGTAAAAGGCAACGGGACCAGTTCTTTGCTTAAAAAGATAAAAAGTTTTGGGAAGATGGAATTATGAAGTTGCCTGAAAAATGGCAGAAGGTAGTGGAACAAAATGGTGAATAAAGTTGTTCAATAAAATTCTTGGTGAAAATGAAAAATGTGTCTTCTTTTTTTTTCTTAGAAAAACCGAAGACACTTTTTGGCCAACCCAGTGGTAATCTCTTATGATCCTTTGTATTTCTCTGGTGTCGGTTGCAACTTCTCTTTCATTTCTGATTTTATTTATTTGGATCCTCTCTCTTTTTTTCTTGATGAGTTTGGCTAAAGGTTTATCAATTTTGTCAATCTTCTCAAAGAAACAGCTCTTAGTTTCATTGATCTTTTCTACTGTTTTTTAATTCTCTGTTTTATTTACACTCTGATCTTTATTTTTCCTTCTAGTAACTTTGGGTTTTGTTTGTTCTTATTTTTCTAGTCCCTTTAGGTGTAAGGTGTTGACTGTTTGACTTGTTTTCTTGTTTTTAGACACTTTAAATGTGTTTATTTTACATCCTCTTTCAAATTGCTCTTTAGTCTTCTTGCTTGCTCTCCGTTTTCTTTCATCTCTTATCATATGATTTATCATTTGGTGCAGTGAGCCCATCTTCAGAGGGGGTTATGGCTTCAGGAGTGGTGTAGGTTGGACTGGATGTATACTGCCTCTGCCAGGGCCACAGGGAGCTGGATGGCCACGGACATATTTTGGAGTTAGTTTCCTGACTTGGTGCTTCTGTATTATGCGGCTGGTAAAGCATCTTACCTTTATTCCCCTGCCTGCTTCCTTGAATCACTGAGCAGCTTTCCCTGTCCCCATTCAATGTCTGGTACAGCCCTCGGAGCCTGATTTCTACAGGGGGCTCTGCTTTTGCCTGCTTGTCTTGCTGGTGCCCTGTATCTACATCAGTAGCAAGATCACAGCCTGAAGACCCCTCAGGCTCAGAGCGCCCAGACCTTTGCTTCCTGCTTAGATTTTGTATTCCCTTTTTGTCTCCTGTGCCTGGGGGTTTCCTCCTCATTCCCTTGAGCAAGGCCACATGTCACAACTTTTAAAATCATATTTTATGCAGAATTTTGGATCTATTATATTGACCAGAAACAAGTCCAGAAATTGTTTTAGATTCCTAAGTGGTTGATTTGTTTACTTTCTTTTTAAGCAAAGGCAAGGAAAGCAGGAGAGACATAGGTATTAACCTATGCTTTTAATTTTCTGGTTATATTTATCATCTAAGAATATATTTAAACAACTTCAACATTTTGGTATTAATATGTTGGTGTTTTATTTGTATCTTAGTGCAATAATGTTAAAGGGTGTTCATAGTTTTTTCAATTTGTTATTTATTTATTTATTTCTTTTTTGCGGTACGCGGGCCTCTCACTGTTGTGGCCTCTCCCGTTGCAGAGCACAGGCTCCGGACGCGCAGGCTCAGCGGCCATGGCTCACGGGCCCAGCCGCTCCGCGGCATGTGGGATCTTCCCAGACTGGGGCACAAACCTGCATCCCCTGTATCGGCAGGCAGACTCTCAACAACTGCGCCACCAGGGAAGACCTCAATTTGCTATTTTTTATATAACTGTTTTTCTTTATATAATCTGCTACAAATAATACTTTATCTGTTGAAGACTCCAAGGCTTATATTGTAACAGCCATAGCTTCATTATCCGGCCTGCAATTAGTCTTATTATGGTTGATAAGGGCACTTCTATTCTCTTTTTTTGTTATAAAATGTAATGCAGTATTTAGGAAAAAATCTTGAAAGAGGAAATATATACTATAAAAATTAAAACAGATAATTTAAAACTTGGATGTAGAAGTGGGAAAGGAGAATGGGAAAAGTAAAAGAATCTAAATTTATTTTATTTTATGGGGACAACTCAATGAGATACTTACATTCATAAGATTGGTAGAAAAATGTAGAATTGAATATGTTGCATTTTAAAATTTATTTATCTTTTCTGTCCTCCACAGTTTCTCGTTCATATTATTTACTGAATGTAAAAGAACAGATGAATTAATAAATGAATGACAATTTTTTTTCAAATTCCAATATTTTCCCCTTAGCTAGAATATTTTTAATAACTATTTGTTTGAGTTCAGGAGTGTTACTTGCAGCATATAATGTGGTTGAGTCACTGCCTTTCTTTTCTCCAAACTGTCAGCTGGAGGCACAATTAGGTTTGTGGTTTAAGCTAAATCCCTACCCCAAAGGCCTTTATTCCTTTTCGATTATGAATCAAGTGGAGAGCCCGTGCGGGTGTTTGCAAGTTTGTATTAGGAAAGGAAGAGAAGCTAGTTTCCCAAGAAATAAAATTGCATGGAGAAGCTGGAAAATATCATTCAATATGTCACTCTACGAATCCATAGTAAATTTGCATTTTTTTGTTATCTTCATATAGCATCTCTGCGTAACCTTTCAAGGAATGGCAACGCTACACCCCATGTCCATTCATGTTCAGAGAGGGGTTGGGTCCAAAGGCTTGCTTGTCTGGGAAGCCTTCTTTGGAAGGTGTTGGCGTCTTTTGAGTTTAACCCTCAGGAGTTTCTGATCTTAGATTTAAGATTCTGGTTAAGGAGAGAGGGAAGGCGGACTTGGATGACATCACAAATTAAAGGGGAAAAAAAAGGAAGGACTCTAGAGGGTGCACGTCCAACTTTCACACCGTGACTTCTTGGGGATACTTCAAGATGTTTTCAAACAGCATGGACTTTTTGGATACGTGAGGGCATTTCCAAGTATCAAGAAAAAATAACTGACTGTTTCAAATCTTTGGAATTATTCCAAATTCAGGAATCCCAGATGTTTGTTAAGATGCCATTGCATACCTCTGTTTAAATATTGAAGTGGGTTTCAAGATGCTATAGAGGGGAAAAGGCATACCCTTCAATTCTTCCGTTTTAAAAACAGTATAGTACCTATTCCGTAACGCTATCAGGAGGACCAAACTAGAGTGAATGGTTAGTCAATAAGCTTGAGTATCCTTTCCTTCCTCTTTGCTCTTTCTACCTCCCAGGGCAATTGTGGCAAAAAGATGTGTGGTATTTAAAATGTCATAGCACTACAGAAAATACAGTATGTTATTACTGTTTATCGCTGCAGATACTGAACCAATAATTATCTGTGTGATGAATGCCAGATGTAAATAATAACCAGGGCTCCTGGCATTTGTCTTTCCATCATCTGTCTCCCCATCTTTCCTGGACAGCAATCTGAATCACACACGTCTTTAAATTAAGAACTTGCCTGCTACAAATGTCTTGCGAAAGTGCCAATGTTATGACAAGTCATTTTTTTCCCATGAAATGCACTTAGTTTTACTTCCATATGCCTGTATTTCAGGTCAGGTATTCACCCTGATGAGAACTTTTTGGCGACTCCAGAGCAAGAATCATCCAGATTGAACAAACTTCCAGAATCTACACATGCGAGTCGCACAGTTTGGCTTTTAGTTTACTCAGAATTAATACATTCAGATCATTTATTTTTCCCTCTTGTGCTTGAGAGTCCCGAATACCTTGTTAAGGAACATCAAGCTTCGTAAGCCCTAAGCAGCCAGGGGCTGCACTGACGGCTGAGAGTTTTGAACTTGGTACAAATGCTGGTGGACTGGAAAACAAGTGCCTGCCGCCTCTCCTGATGGGAGCAAGGGCGCCGCAGTGGCTAGCTATGCCCTCGCTGGTGGCCTTTCTAGCAGGGAAGACCCTTCTCTGTAGTTTCCTGTGTGTGGCCTCACTAGAAGATGGAGCTGGGGAGCCCTTCCCCGAAGCAGGCGAAGCAGGTGGTAGAAACCCCCAAACTCCACGAGAACTTACTGAGCGTCACTGACTCGTTGATCTTGAAGCTGCAGAGGACCCTGTCCACGTTGCGGGCGTGTCGGAAGCCGTTACCTCTGACAACTACTTGAAATGATTCTGAAACAAAGAATAATGACACGACACCTTCATGGACTGCACACCGTTAACCTTAAGTTTCCCATCTGCCCTGGTTTAGGGAGTCTGTTAACTATTTCACCAGGCTTAAAATATTAAAAAAATCAGTTCAGGCTGGGAAACAGAAGCATACGTGTGGGAGCCTTTTGCCACCTATTCACTACCTTCTCGCTAGTTGTTCACCAGGATGGCACAGAACTTCTTACTTTGAATTTCCACCCTGCCTTTGCCTTTACTCTTCCTCCTAGCTGGAACGCCTCCCCCACCCCCCACCTGTGTCCTGCAACCCTTACCCATCTCTCAAGTCCTGGCAGTTTTAAAACCTGTGATCTCTGCCACCAGAAGGCCACGGGGGAGGGACTCTCCACTTCGTCAATCCTCTTGTGTCTCTTTTACATATTGGATGCCGAGGAAAGGATTTATTTAGGACTACAGGTGCCTGGCGTTTTTGAAAACCACTACCTGTGGGCATTCACAGTCTGTCCCGAATAGTGTAGCATGTGATTATGTACTGTCTGGTGTTGTTCTTTTGTCTTTTCTTCCACAACTAGAAAACCTTCCTTTACGTTTAGAGATTGTTTGATGAAGCTTCAGCTCTCCTGTCTCTGCAGGGCACACAGTAGGAGCACCTAGTGTTACGCAGGAATAATTGTACTCAGCAGGGGATCGAAATCTTGCTTAGGGGTCAGCAAGCATTGCCCGTTTGAACCGACATTGGCCCTTAGTGCACTTAGAACTCTCTTCTCTCAAAGTAGAGGAGATAATATCTCTCTGCGGGTCTCTAGCCCTGCATGTGAATTTCATGTTGGCATAATTCATGTTGAGTTAACACGTTAATAAAATATTGATAAAGCAAAAATAATGATCCTCTATACTAGTCTTACTAAGAGAAAAAAACCAGCTAATTAATCCATTAAATGTTTAGGAATATTTGCTTAAGTTTGATGGTAACTAATAGCCAATACTCCATTTTCTTTGATCTTTGTCATCTTTTTGTGTGTAAAATTTGGGGCTTGGGGTAATGCTGTGTGGTATATAAAAAAGAAAAAGACTAAAAGTTAGAGGTTAAAACGCAGTATTGGTGAAAGTGGATCTGGAAGTGTAAATTGCTATCCAGATGGAGATTTTCACTGGAGGATGAATGGAATTAAAAGACTAGCATATGGGACTCTTCCAAACTTTAATAAACGTCATGAATCTATGTTACCTTCATTCTGGGGAAACTAATTTAGACATCATGTTTGCCAAGAGAATAATAACTGATATCAATTGCTCCCTCTTCGTGTGCCAGGCCCTGTGCAAAGCGTTGTATATGTCTGATGTCACTTAAACCTCACCACAGGGAGGTACAAATGAGAAAACCAAGCGTAGTGAGGTTAAGTAACTTGTCCAAGATCACATGGCTGGTAGCTGTCAGAATCAGAACCGGAATCCAGGTCTGGCGAGTATCAAATGCCTTAGGACTCAGTCATCGTGTTCTTTACTGTTATGCTAAAATGTCTTGTGACATATGACTCATTTAGAGATTGACATTGTGATCTTTTAAAAAGCTTATTTTATTTTTACTTTAGACAGGCTTGTCCATTTTGCAGAAAAATGGAGCTGGCCTAGCTGGGAAGCAGGAAACCAAAACTGAAGTAAAAGAAGCCGGAGGCACTAAGTGTGCCACAAGGAGAAACAAGTTAGAACAGAATGCGGTTTAGAGGTATCAACGACCTTCCCTGTAAGGAAATGGAGATTTCTGACGTTGCAAATGACTTGCCCAAGATCATGCAATCTGTAACTGGTAAGCAGCAAAACTGGGACTTGTACCCACCAGCATTCACTGCCATAGTTTTGAACTATATTAAGGTTCAGAACTTAACGATGGTTTTTCAGGACCATAGTCCTATGAGTATTAAGGATTTAGATATGCATGTCGATGCATATACACGGTTGCTAAGTTTAGAAGGATGGACTAGATGGTTTTCTTTAGATGTCTGCCTGGCATGTGACTGATGACACAATTGGTTCAACAAGCATTCTATTAGGTGTCAAGCATTGTGGAAGAATCTTATCGCATCTTGTTTACTCAATTTAGCCTATAGATACCCATTTCTGGTTTTAGTCTGAACGCCAGACATCCAGAAGTCTGCCATTGGATGCTTTTGCTGCTTGCAAATGTTTTCTGCCTCGCTGCTCTGCCTACTTCTCGTCTCCTCAAAGATCAGTGGAAGGAGAGAAGATTCTGGAAACGCAGGCCATGTGCCAGCTCTCTTCTCTAACACTGTGTCCTAGCATAACCTGTTCTGCTGCTGAGTCCTCAGTGAGAGAGGATGCCGGCATGGCTGCTTGGCCAGCCCTCAGGGTGTTAGGGAGGAAGACAGCAGAAACCCAGGGACAGCCATGGTGGAGACGGAGCAATCTAACCCCCGAGGCGCGGGGAGCAGATGAAGGAAAGGATGCCCTGGGAGGCACACCAGAGCAGAGGCGAGCTCCCACCAGTTTCTATGTGAGGATGCACATTTGGCCTCCAGAAGCACCTGAGTATCTGCCCCGGCAGCCCGACTGGAATGTCAGCCCTTCACACGTAGAAGGTATGTAACAAAACCCTGTCAAGTGAATCTGTCAGCAAGAGAGAGCCGGGACACACCAGAACCAGGACATACTGATTTAATTCAGTTTGTCCACAAAGCCCTGAACCTGTCTCTCACCATACGTACATCTAAGTGTTTTTAGGCAGCGTGCACGTTGGTTTACGGCTCCTACAAGGAGTGCCTAGGGACTGGAGGGCATTAGGGAGGAATTTCTACTTGGAAATGATCTTTTACCTAATCTTTTAAGATACATATTCTTTAAGTTATCTTTAAGGTATATGTTTATTATGATTCTTTTGTCACTTTACTCTCAATTATAATTTAAGCTTCCTGATGGGAGAGGCCATCATATCTATTTCTTTAGAATCTCTGGCCGTGCCGCACCCAGGGCTGAGTCAGTCTCAGTGTAAGCTCGTTTAACGAACAAATAAATGACATCTTGGTATAGAAAGGGAGAAAGGGGAGGAGAAGGTGGTCATTTATTCAGGTACCAGTCAGATCTAATCCTGTTTGTTTTCTGAGGCTTAATCAGGTCATTGAATGAAAAGATGCTCAGCGTCCTTGGTTATTAGGAAAATGCAAATCAAAACCACTCCACACTCACTAGAATGACTATAATAAAATAGGTGGACAATAATAAGTGTTGGTGAAGAAATGAGAAGCCTCATACATTGCTGGTGGGAATGTAAATTGGTGCAACTGTTTTGTAAAGTAGTTGGCAGTTCCTCAGAAAGTTAAACATAGAATTACCATATGACCCAGAAATCTCATCCTATACTCAAGAGAATTGAAAACATATGTCTACACAAAAACTTGTACATATATTACACAATAGCATCATTCACAATAGCCAAAAAAGTGGAAACAACCCAAGTATCCACCAAATGATGAATATGGTATTCACACAATGGAATATTATTTACCCATAAAAAGTCACAAGTTCTGACACGTGCTATGACATGGATGAATCTTGAAAACATTATGCCAAATGAAAGAAACCAGACATGAAAGTCCATCTATTGCATGATTTTATTCTATTTCATTTCCATGTGAATAGTGCAGATTAGAAAATCCAGAGAGACAGAAAATTGACTGGCCAGGGCTGGGGAGAGGAAGGAATGGGGAGTGACTGCTTAATGGGTACGGGGTTTCTTTTCAGGATAATGAACATATTCTGGAATTACACAGTGGCTATGGTTGTACAACTTTGTGAGTATATTAGACATTACTGAATTGTACTATTTGAAAGGGTGAATTTTAGGATATGTGAATTATAGCTCAATTTTAAAAAAGAAAAAACTTAAGGTCAATGAATAATTTGATAAACTTATTCTGTTCCCTTTTTTTGCTTTTTTTTTTTTTGGAAATGTGAACACATAGTTTTGCGATGACCTCAATAAAGATCACCTATCAACCACTGTATCTGAAAATGGGACATCTGTATATTCACCATGTGCTCTGGTCACCTAAGACTTTTGTGTAAAATTAGTGATATTTCCATCTTGAGAGTTAGCTTCAGTTTGCTCTCCTATTAAATGCTACTGTAACATGTAACATCTAAAATATAATATAGAGCTGGATGTGTATTAAGTGCTTTCTGATGCCTAAATTACTCTAAGCTTTTTATTTTATAGCTATTTACTTATAAGAATTTTAGTGAGGTATAACTGACGTACAGTAAGTTGTATGTAAAGTGTATAATTTGATAAGTTTTGACATAGGTATACAATCATGGGGTGATACCACAATAAAGATGGTGAACACACCCACCACCCTCAGAAGTTTCCACGTGCCCCTTCGTAATCTCTTCCTCCTGCCCTGCCCCACACCATGCGACCACTGATCTGCTCTCTGTTGTTGTAGATTAGTTTGCACTCTCTAGAATTTTATGCAAATGGAATCATATAGTAAGTATTTTTTTTTTTTGGTCTGGCTTTTTTTTACTGAGCATAATTATTTTAAGATTCATCCATAATTATTTTGAGGTTTATACATAGTCTATTTCTTTTTATTGCTGACTATTATTCATTGTATGAAAACCACAGTTTTATCCATTCATGTGTTGATGAACATTGGAGTTGTTCACAGTCTCTGGCTCTTAAAAATAGAGCAGTTATAAACATTTATGTACAAGTCTGTGCCAGGACATAGATTTTATTTTTTTCCCCTTGGGTAAGCACCTAGGAGTAGAACAGCTAGGTCATGTGGTTAGTGTATAATGTTTTGAGAGACTGTCAGAACTGTTTTCCAAAGTGATTGTACCATTTTACATTTCCACCAACAATGTATGAGAGCCCCTCCTTCAAATAGAAATATCTTTTAATGAAAATGAAGACCAAGGAGAGGATTAAACAATTGATTCAGAAGAGGTGCCTATGGGCCAACATGAGCTCTTTGAAAAACAGTGAAAAGTGAAAGAAATGAAACCACTTTTTGATGTTGCTTAAATGTGTCTGGTTTAAGCATCTAATTTCCAAATGGTAAACATGCCACTTACAAGTACCTTCCTTTGTGCTCACTTACCCAATTTTAGTACGAACAATGGGAAACAACAGAGTAGGAATAATACAATTGCTTCTGAAATGACAATGTAAGGCGCTAATGATAATCTCCTTCCATTTCTGGAGGAAAAGAACTTTAAATGTAGAGCAGTTGGCAGGTTGCACACTTAATTCCAATTAGTTCCTTCCTGGAGTATTTGCTTACATAAAACACTGTGAGCTATTCAAGTCTGAGGCCAACATTGTGGGGCCAGAGGAAAATTGTGCTTAGACAAGACGATGCATTTCCTTAAGAGGCGCTGAACTAGGCAGGGCCAATCTAACAATGGATCAATTTTCCTAATTACACAGAGGCTAATCTGCAAAAACACTTAATTAGGAACTTTAAAAAAGAGTCTGTATTAGAAGGGAAGCAGAATTATTTAAATGCAGGTAATGTCAAAGGTGCTATAAAGGCTCTCCACAGAGCAGGTGACTTCCTACATGTTTTAGAACAGGAACCGTAAATACAGTGGCATAAGCACCATGCTAAACGGCAACCATATGCTTGACCTGGGTATTGGGATAATGGGGAGTGGTGGAGAGTATGGCGAACTGGAAAGAGTACATCCTTCTTTTAAAGGGAAGTTATTCAGTCTCTAATAATCGTTAGCTTGCAATAAGTACAGGCCCAATGTTACTAGATCTGATTTTTCAATACAAGACAAAAATCTGAATTTTTAGGTGCAATCAGACTTTTAAATGTTAGCAATAATTTTTTTTTTAAATTGCAGTGTGAGTCAAAAAGAACATATGTGCAGACCAGACAGGGCTTGTTGGCTGCCAGCTTATAACCTCTGGCAGTGGAGGAGTTTTGAGATGGCTCTCTCTCCAAATAGTTTCACTCATGACATTGATTGAAATTCTTTCTGATAGGGCAGAGGCTTACCTCCTCTTCGCATTAAGATTTCCTGTTAAAATGCAAAATAGTTCCAAGTATACTTTTTTCTTTAGCCATTAAACAAATAATCAGCCATTAATATCTTAGCTGAAGTTGAATTAAGTCTTTAGAAACTTAAAGTTATAAAGGAGACCCAAAAAGGGTTTCTCTGTATAGCACGTGGTTACAGATGGCCATTCTGCTGTTGCTCACGTAATTCTGGGGGTGGAAAGTTGAGAGCATCTACTCCATTGTTGGAAAGCTTCAGTTGTAAAAGTTGCGTGTGTTAAGCTAAAACCCGCCTCCTTGAATTCCTCCCCAATCTCTCCATGGTGGTCTCCTGAAGCTATTTGTAGTAAGCCTAATTATTCCTTTCTGCATGGGAATTCTCCAAATATCCTTGTGAGTGTCTCAATTCTTTGTCTAAATCTCTGTGGTCACTCTGGTCCTTCCTCATCCCACAAGCATCTCATTAGCACCTCTTTGAGCAGATCTTTGCTATAGTGCTTCACGCGTGATTTCGTAATTTGTGTGAACACATGACTATCTCCTAGAGCAGACTGTGAGTTTCATGGGGGGTTGGGACCAAGCACGCATGTTGGTACTCAAATCTTTTCATATTGCTTGGTACATAGTAGACATTAAGAAGTGATGGAAAGAAAGAAGGAAGGGAGGGAAGAAGGAAGGAAGGAAGGAAGGAAGGGAGGAAGGAAGGAAGGGAGGAAGGAAGGAAGCAAGGGAGGAAAGAATCAGTGACTGGAGTCTTGGAAGCTTGACTGTCCTGTGTTCTCCTGTAAATGGACCTTGAGAGCTTGTTCGGAGGTTGTAGCAGGGGAGCACAGCTACTTGTACATCCTTGACTGAAGAATGGACTCTATTGAGGAAGGTCATCCTCTTCCACTGAGCATGCAGCTTCAGGAGGGATACACATGGGAGGGAGGAAGGGGACACCTGCCTAGCCGGCCAGATCAGCTGAATCAACACTGGCTATCAATGGGGTGACAGATGTTGCAGCTGGGCTGCCCTCACATCCTGAATGAATTATTAATATGGTTTCCAGTTCCATCACCACTACTACTAGGAACATGCCTTTGTCAATGCCATTTTTAAAATATGGGACTTGGAACCATGGTCTGAACTTGGAATAGTGGAGCATGGTATTAGCTCTCTTGCCCTGGACACTGGATGGCTATTGATGCGCTCTAAGATTGCATCAGCTTTTTTTTTGTCAGGGGCATTCTTGTTGGCTCTCAAGATATCTATGCTTCTCCTCACTTTTTCTTTTTCTTTGCATGAACTGTTACTAAGTCAGGTTTCTCTAAACCTGCTTGTACGTGAAACTGACGATTTGCAAGTTCAGCATCTTACATTTGTCCCATTAAATTTCACCCTATTATTTGCAGCCCAACACAGAAAGATCTGTGTTGGATCTCAGTTTTACTGTCCACCCAGTGCATTATCTCACTGCCTGTCTCAGAGCTCTGTTTGCTGTCAGAACCATGGCTGTTGCTGAGTTGTTGGTGAGAGCCAGCTGAGATCCCTGTCTCGGGAGAATGCAGTCATCAGCATAGTGTGTCTTAAGTGGATAGGCCAGGGTGGGGCTCCACAGCAGGGGCTGCTCTGGGGGCCAGGGAAGGGAAGTAATTCAGAGAGTGAGGGGAGGAAGCAGAGAGGAAAGGTTTTTGATGAAAGCAAGTTCTATCTTCTTCACAGATCTGTCTAGGGCTTAGTCTCAACATTTTTTTTTTACAAATATGAACAATGAACTTTACAAATATGAATAATATTTCCTTGTTCACATTCTCCTCCAGTACGTATTGAGTTAATGAATCATTTTGCAGCTACTCTGAACTCTACCAAGGCTTCCCCAATTTTCTTTCAGTAGAGAAACATACAGGCATGTTTTTCTCATCTAGGTGTGAGATTATCAACATCATGATTCTCATATTGACCTTCAATCCTTATTAAAATGATACTGATGATAATAATGTCACCTTGCTTTGTTGTAACAGTTTATGCTTTTTAAAGCACTTTCACATAAATCCCTGGCCCTGGCTCCTTGCAGTGGCCTAATGAAAATCACACAGGGGGTATGCTTAGGTCTACTTGACAGGAGTTCACAGCCCTGGACAATGAAATGGCCTCCGATGCTTCATGAAAGCCATGCTTACTCCAGGGAATGATCAGCGACAGACCTTTAAGGGAATCCTTGGAAGAACTTTTGGTGTAAGGATATCTTGTGAAAGTTTTATTTTCTTCTTAGTAAACTTATTCTCTAATCTACATGTCTTAATGATTCTAATTCAAGAGAGGTGGGAGCTTGCTTTTTCAAAACCTAGGCTAGGTCCCATGACTGTGTCTTGTATTACTTTTTTTATAAGAAATAAAGGAAATGGAAGGGATGGATTGGGAGTTTGGGGTTAGCGGATGCAAACTAGTATATGTAGAATGGATATAGAACAAGGTCCTACTGTATAGCACAGGGAACTATATTCAATATTGTGTGATAAACCATAATGGAAAAGAATATAAAAAAGAATGCATATATGTAGTTATAACTGAATCAATTTTCTGTACAGCAGAAATTAACACAACATTGTAAATCAACTACATGTCAATTAGAAAAAAGAAATAAAATAAATAGAATTGGAGAGTTTACTCCGATACAGGAAACTATTATTTGTCCATAAAATATGGGATATTGCACATAAGCCAGAGATTTTAAAAATATTTAAAGAAAGATTCCTTGGATTGGATTTACAAGAGATTTGTCTATTTTATTGGTTCTACCAAAGAAACAGCTCCTGGGATAATTAAGCAGTGGAATTGTTTTAATTTGTTTAAGTTTATTAATGCTTTTAAATATTTTTTCTTATATTTTCCTTAGCTTTAAAAATATCTTTTATTTAATTATTTTTCTTTTCCATTACATAAGAAACATACTGAAAACTATGAATTTGCTAGGATCAGATCTTGTGGACCCTGGTATTTCTGTGCCGTATTCATTACGTTTATATATGTGGTCTTTTTATTGTCTTGAACACCTCAGTGGTAAGTAAAGGAGATTTTGGTTTACTAATCTTTTTTTTTTTTTTTTTTGCAGTACACGGGCCTCTCAGTCTTGTGGCCTCTCCCATTGCGGAGCACAGGCTCTGGACGCGCCAGCTCAGCAGCCATGGCTCACACGCCCAGCCGTTCCGCGGCATGTGGGATCTTCCCAGACCGGGGCAAGAACTCGTGTCCCCTGCATCGGCAGGCGGACTCCCAGCCACTGCGCCACCAGGGAAGCCCGGTTTACTAATCTTTGATTCAAGAATTATTTAAGAAGATACTCAATCCGAGTGATTGAAATTTGGTGGGCTTTTGGGGCCTTGTTCTGTCTTTGGCTATTTCTAATTCTGCTTCATTTAAAATAGTTCAAAGTTCTGATAACTTCTTGAGATTAGGTGAAAGTAGTTAATAAGGGTCGAATGAGCAAAAATCGGTACATTGTTTGTTTAAGGAATGTATGAATCAAGACATTTGGTTAACATTTATTGACCACCTATTAAGTACCACGGACTCTGTTAGGCAATGGGAAGTGGAGAGAAATAAGATTCCTTCTCTGTCCCCAAGAACCCTACAGGAGGGGAACTGATTATGCTAGTGAATTAACAGAAGCTGTATTCATTGTCTTTAGATGTTCTGATTCAGTACAAGGTTGCAAAACATCCAGTAGGATTGCTAAACTGCAAGTCTGGGGTTTTTCTTCATGAATGAGATAACTGCACAATTAAGGAACTCCCCTGTTTTCTAATTGTTTTAAAGTAAAGGAGTTATAAAAATTGTGGAGACAGATTTACCTTGAAGCTAATGAACCCTAGTTAAGCCTCCTGGCACTGGGCTCATGTGGTCATATGCTTTTGTAAATTTGCAAAGGTAAGATTTTTCAATTCCTTTTCTTAAGAATGTTCTCCTGGACCTGTCTTTGCGGCAACCACATTTGTTCCTGCCATCTGTGTTACCAGGTAGCAGTGTATTTAAAGGTCAATAGATAATCTTTGTTGATTGCTTTTCTTCAGGAAATTTACACGTCTCTGTATAGTCAGTCTCCAAGTACTGCTAACAACTTTAAACGTTTACATATATACTTAGTGTTTTGTTGTTGGCACATACTAGTCACTATTTCTAACTCCTTGAAAAGTGTTTCAACTATTCTAAAATAGAGCCAAGAAACTGGAATGGAATCCTCAAGGAATTACCTCATTTATACCAATAAAATATGCCATAAAGAATAAAACTGTACAGTGTTTGAAAAAGCTTGAAAGTTCTTCCTCACTCCTTATGGGGTTGCATGATATATTTTCTATGACAAATTAATAATTGGCATTTGGGGTCTTCCCTGGTGGCACAGTGGTTGGGGGTCTGCCTGCCGATGCAGGGGACGCGGGTTCGTGCCCCAGTCTGGGAGGATCCCACATGCCGCGGAGCGGCTGGGCCCGTGAGCCATGGCCGCTGAGCCTGCGTGTCCAGAGCCTGTGCTCCGCGACGGGAGAGGCCACGGCGGTGGGAGGCCCGCGTACCACAAAAAAAAAAATAATAATAATTGGCACTTGGTATTTTAGGAGACTAGAAAGGCGATGTTAACAGTGAACTCTCAACGGTGAAATACTACAGGTCCTGGAGCACAGGAACTCATGGAGAGAAGGTTTATCCTTTTTGTATCACCAGCACTTACCACAGTGCCTGGCATTCAGTAGGTGCCTGACAGTACTTTTTAAATAAGAGTGATGGGAAACCTGTCAGGAATTATACAAAGAGAGCCAGAATGGTTGAAATTTTAGGCAGTCCATTATAATACAAAACAACAGTAAGAACGTGATTTTGATCAGTTAGAGAAAATACTGTGACTCAGAGAAGGCTGACTCTTTGTATAAGTGGAGGTTTGCTGTATTAATGATAAAATTATAATGGCCTTTTACTGGGATAATTGGCGTAGCCTATCAACATTTTGTGAGGAATTGTGGATTAAGCAATTAATTATGATCAACATATTAATTACGGAGAGAGGTTCAGCACTGATTAAATAATTTAAAATACCAACATTTCAGAGGTGGCCTATGATCACTGTGATAGCCGCCATGAAGATGTAGGGTTAGACTCCACTTGTATCCAGAGAGGGGTACTGATGGTGATGTGTGGGAATCCAGTATTTCTGTAATACTCCCAAATTAGTTCCCATGAAAGGAGAGAATTTAGATAGGCTTTTCCAAACTTTCAAACAACTGGCATGTTGATTCCTTATTCCCTTTTTTCCCTAGAAGCAAATTTATTCAGCAGTTTCTACTCCTCTTTTTCCCCCTCCCCTTTCCTGCCCCACCTCCCTCCTTCTCTACTGATGAAGTAAACATGTGACTTGAATTCAAAATCTCATTATTTGTGTGACAGCGATTAGCATTTAATTTCAATTTACCTCCTGCACATATGGTGGATGGTTCAGCTGCTAGAATTTCGATGCAGGACTTCTTCAAAATCTAGGAGGAGAGGAAATCAAAAAAGTCAAAGCACAGCTTATTTTGTTAAAACAGAAAAGTGGGGTTTGCTTTTAGCTACCAGGATAGGAAGGCTCAGGGACATTATGTTGTAGTGGGCGGGTAAGTGGAGGATAACATTTTTACTAGTATCATTAATGTCAAGCATTTAATGAGCCAGCACTGTGCTAGATGCTTCCGGGTATCCCCAAAATCCATAGGAATTATTCATTCATTTGATCTTTAGGCAGATATTTATTGAGTCTATGATACACCAGTCCTAGTTATAGAGGGGTTTAACATCTAGTTGAGGAAATGGGACCTACACTTGAAAAGAAAAATAACAATGGCCCAGCCTATGTGGTAGGTGCCAGGGTGAAGCGGCAGACGGTAGGAGCTACAGAATTCATGGGGAAATCACTGAGGGCTGCTACATGGGGAAGGGCTTCCTGGAAGAGGTGGGTGCTGAGGGTAGGACTCAGTCAAGTGGGGAGGAGTAAGTTAGGGGAAGGTTAAGGTCCAAGCAGGGAGTGGCATTTGCAAAGATGAGAAACTAGAAATACATAGACCTCTTTAGCTGGAACAAAGGAGCTGGAACAGTAGAAAAACGAGTGATAATAGATAAGCTGGAGAAGTAGGATGGAGATGGCCAGCCCTCTAGAGGGGATACATGTTCAGATTACTCAGAGTTCCCTTCTAGTTAGAGAAGTGGAAATGTTGCAGGAGAAGGAGGGCTTTGAAGGCGGCTTGTTGTGCCTCGCTCTTTAGGAGGACCTTACTTGCATGGAACTGTAGTCTTCCGCCCAAGTGAGTCTTGTAGGGTTGAGTGGAGAGTCTGGAGGACCCCATGACCGCATAGGGAAATAATAATGAAGTCTTCTTTTGGCAAAAGCAGGGTACCTGACTGGTAGGGTTCAAGCTTTTCTCTACCATTTCTGAATGCCGTCTCTTATTGCATAATGATTCTAAAATTTCGACCAAGCATTTTAAACAAGTATAGGACACTGAGTTAATTTACCAAGCAAAGGCAGTATCTTTATTTGGGCTTTACTTAATTTGGAAATTGAGATGGTTCAGAGGCCTGAAGGAAACTCTCTCTCTATTTATGAAAGGGGCATTTGTTAAAGGAATTAAGAGTGAAGTAAAATGTAAAGTCCATAGAAGAAAACAGCATCTTTTAGCATTGGGAAACACCCATTTACTTGTATGGATGTATGGATTTATATAGGCTTCTTTGTTCCAGCTTAAGTGACACACACACCACAAGATACAATCAAATAAAATACAATAAATTCAACAGGGGAGGAAATGGATTAAAGGGAAAATAAGGGGAAGATGAAGTAAGGAGTGAGAATAGCATAGAAAAATACATTTTTTGATTATGTATTATTAAGAGCTTATTTCCTTGCTAGGAGCAGCTCATGAATTTAGTTCTAAGCTTTCTAGTAGCAAATGAGAAGGGCAGACAATATTTATGAGATTCTCAATCTGAAGAATGAAAACAAACCAGTTTCTCAGAAGAGATAATATTTACCCATTCCAGAGAGAAATCTGGGCGTCCTCATAGAGAAGCATTGTGAAAGGAAGTGAACGACATGCTTGAGAAAATTGTTCTCTGATGTACAGATGACAGAACATTCAAATGCAGTCATTGAAACAGGCTCCCTCACAACCATGGGTCTTAGGTAATTCTCTATACCTGAGAGTAATAAGAAGCAGCACAGTCCTCCCTATCTTCAGGAGGATTGGTCCAGGACCCCCGCGGACAGCAAAATCAGAGGATGCTCATGTCCCTTATATAAAATGGCGGAGTATTTGCATATAACCTACACGCATTCTTCCATATACTTTAAATGATCTCCAGACTGCTTATAATACATAATACAATGGAAATGCTAATGTAAATATTTACCAGCACGAAGCAAATTCAAGTTCTGCTTTTTGGAACTTTCTGGATTTTTTCCCCCAATATTTTTGATCCCCAGTTGGTTGAATCTGCAGATGTGGAACCCACGGATACAGAGGGCAGCCTGTATTTCTTTTTCTTGACAATTCTAAAATCCAGATTTCCAGCTGACATTTTTTTCCTGACATTATTTCTGATTCTTTTACAATTTAAAGGCATTTTCGTATTTTGATTCCTCTGTTTTCAGCTTCTACCTCATTCCACAGTCAAAGCAATTTGTTCCTTTTTGTCAGTGTTTGCCTTCTTTCTTCTCCCTCTGGCTTACCCAGTCACCGTCCATCTCAAACATAGGTGCAGCCTCAGTTCTCCCTGGTCCCCAAGGACCATCACCTCTGAGCCCTTCACTGACATTCTGACTGGGGATCAGGGACCCCAAGGATGTATCCTGGACATCCATGTTTTGCTTCTGGCTTTTCCATCCTGCCTTTCCAGTGGTCAATTGGTCCTTCAGATGCAGCAGCATCCTAGGACTGGGGCTTGCCAAAATCTTCATCCAGATCCTTGCCAGTGACTCATATCCCAGATAACAACTGCCCTATCTGAGCTGTGATGACAGTCCACTCCCCTGTCCCCCCAGTTTGCTGCCATTGGGCTCCTCCTGGCTGAAGGGCCGCCTTAGCTACTGGTTGCCATAACTCAGAGAGGCAGGCATGCCCTTCAACATGTCTTCAGGCATAAATCTCTTAATAGGCCACATTGGGAGATCCAGAATTAACCCATATGGAGAACTTTATTAAACAGTGACATTAGAACGACACAAAGCTTTTTTTATGTTTTAAATAAAATTCCTCTGTCTCCTTTTATAAATCACTTTATCATCTACAACTAAAGATTTCAACAGTCCAAGAATGAAAATTGGGCTATCCCATCTAACCTGTCTCCATTCCCCAAACTCCATCAAAACACATAAATGAAATCTTCACCCATGTTAAGTTCCTGACTTTGAAGCAACATTTTTTTTTTTTTTAAAGTGACTCAGCCCTTGTAGTGTTGTTGTTTGGGGAGGTCACCACTCTTTTTATTTTTTAAATTTATTTTATTGATTTATTTATTTTTGGCTGTGTTGGGTCTTTGTTGCTGCGCACGGGTTTTCTCTAGTTGCGGTGAGCAGGGGCTACTCTTCGCTGCTGCGAGCGGGGGCTACTGTTTGTTGCGGTGCACGGGCTTCTCATTGCGGTGGCTTCCCTTGTTGCGGAGCATGGGCTCTAGGTGCGCGGGCTTCAGTAGTTGTGGCTCGCGGGCTCCAGAGCACAGGCTCAGTAGTTGTGGCGCATGGGCCCAGTTGCTCCACGGCATGTGCGGTCCTCCCGGGCCAGGGCTTGAACCCATGTCACCTGCACTGGCAGGCGGATTCTTAACCACTGAGCCACCAGGGAAGCCCGTGAAGCAACATTTTTGAACCAGCCCTAACACTTAGCCAGGGGTGAGTAAAGGAAACACCCGTGAATCTCTGACCACAAAGACACACTTACAGGTTTTGTCATAATAAACACATGCTGTATTATTCTCTCAAAGTGTCTGCAATTAGCTGATAAATCTAAGGAGTGTATAAAGGGCCAAAAAATTTCAGCCAAGGGCTGTGATTCAATCCAGTAAAAACACAGCTTTCCCAATCTTAACTTAAAACATCTGGAAGGGATGCATTGCAGCCAATGGAGTAAAATTTATCAGTGAGGGGCATGGGCAGGACTTGTCTGGGACTGTAGCTTCTATGAGTTAGAAATGTCTGGTTTCAAAAGGTAGGAAGTCACAATGGCATGGGGTGGATTTGGGGGGTTCCTTTGGTTATTAGCAGCCCAGACTGTACAGTAATCAGTCTGTCCGAACTTCAGCAGACAGCAGATCAGCCTAGGGACTGGAGGCTGCGTGGGGGTGGGGAGGCAGAGGATCCCTCCCCGACCTGGGCACTGGTAGCCATGGAGGAGGTAGAGACACAGCACTGGGAGATGGATGAACGCAAATCACTAGACCGAGTGGAAAGAATTCACACAGGGTTGGGGCGACGTCAGAGGTGATAGTCTAACTGACCTCTGATGGAGACTGGCTAAGACTACCACATGCCTCAAGCATGATCCAATGTGAGGAGTTGGGTCCTGGTCTTGCCCCTGGTCCTGTACTTACCTGACCTGTGGTCCTTGACAAGTCCTTTAACTAGTCTGAACCCCAATTCTGGGAAACAGTTTAACATACTAATAGTTTAGTATTAAACTAAATTGGAGTCGAATTGCTTGAGTCAACTCACTCATGAGCACTGTGACCTTGGGCAAGTTCCATAACCTCTCTGAGTCTCTGTTTCCTCATCTGTAATAGTGGGATAAGAACAGCGCCGACTGCATGAGGTTGTTCAGTTGGGAAGATTAAATGAGATAATATAGGCAGACTCCATAGCACAGGGCCTGGAAGTCCTCAAATAATGGTAGTTTTAATCTTAAGAACCTGGGCTCTGGAGACAGAAAAAATAGATTGGGGCTTTAAATAGATTTATGTCCAAATACAAGCACTATCACTTACTGGACATGAGGATTTGGATAAGTTATTAAACTTCTGAATCTCAGTTTCTTTTTCTGTAAAATGAGAACAAGAAAAACACCTCAAAGGGCTGTCTGGTGGTAAAATGAGTAATAGACATGAATGCAGAGATATTTAGTTTGTAAAATCAATAGAACTTAGGTGGTAAAATTCATATTGGATTAGAGAGTGAGGAAAAGAGTGAGATTAAGGAAAACTGACAAGGTTTTTGTTTTATAGACAGAACTAGACAGATGGGATTGGTCAACAAATAGTATTTAACAACCTTGGGCCATCAGCCAAAAGTGCCCTTCATGAAAACAAGAAACCAAGAAATGTGCTCAGAACAACCTTAGTAGTAAAGCACTTAGTAGGATGTCTGACACATATTCGGTTCTCAAACAATGGTAGCTGTGACTGTTACCGCTGTTATTACTGCTACTACTGCTATTACTCTCGGGCAAAGACAGTTAGCTCATATCTGCTTCTATCCTATCACCCACCACTGGCCCCTTGCTAAGTCCTATTT